GGAGGCCGTTGCCCTAATCGGGCCGAGGTAGCTGTGGCCCGGGGTGCCGGCTGGCGGGCGGTCTCAACAGGTGGGCAGTTCTGACTCCTGTGGCTTCTCGGGTCAGAAGCAGAGTCCTTCCTGGTTGCTGTGGGCTTACGGGGTGTCCTCTCTGTCCCCAGAGGTGCTGAGTGATGTGGTGACCGCCCGGCCTGGGGCCAACGTGACCCTGACCTGCCCGGGCGAGGAGCCTAGAGACAGTGCCACGATTCACTGGCTGCTGAGGAATCGGGTCCCAGGCTCACAGCAGGAACGGGGTGCTGGCGTGGGAGGGAGGCTTCTTCTGAGGTCGGTGCAGCTCAGCGACTCTGGAAACTACTCCTGTTACCGTGACGATGGCAGCCTGGCTGGAACTGTGCCTTTGCTGGTGGAAGGTCAGTTGTGTGCTCAGAGCGCCCCAGCTGTCCCTTCCAACTGCTGTTATTTCTTTGGCCCGACACCTACAGGGGAAGACCCACTGACATCTGCCAGCAGTGAGACTGGAGGAGGCTCCTCGTGGGTGGGGGCGCGTGGCTGACAGGGACCCCACCCTGCTGCCCGAGGCCGGGTTGACAGCCGGAGGCCTGGAGTGCTCCTCCTTCACGGCTTCACCTCTGTCCCCTCGGTGTCCTCGCTGGCAAATGTGGTTAATTTTTTAAAGATTTTTAATGTTTTTTATTTATTTTTGAGGGGGGGAGGGGCAGAGAGAGAGAGAGAGAGAGAGAGAGAGAGAGAGACAGAATCCAAAGCAGGCTCCAGGCTCCAGGCTGTCAGCACAGAGCCCGATGTGGGGCTCAAACCCACAAACCATGAGATCATGACCTGAGCTGAAGTCAGACGCTCAACCGACTGAGCCACCCAGGCGCCCCTTTTTAATTTTTTTTAATATTTATTTATTTTTGGGAGAGAGAGAGAGAGAGAGAGAGAGAGAGAGTGAGCGAGGGAGAAGCAGAGAGAGAGGGAGACACAGAATCCGAAGCAGGCTCCAGGCTCTGAGCTGTCAGCACAGAGCCCGACGCGGGGCTCGAAGTCACAAACAGCGAGATCCAAGATCATAACCTGAGCTGATGTCAGACACTTCACCCGAATGAGCCACCCGGGCGCCCCAAATGTGGTTAATTTTTTACTTACTTGGAGTTGTTGCAGAGATTGAATGAGTGAGTGTGTGTGGGGGGGCTGTTTGGCCTCAGGGCCGTGCCCCCCTCACACTGGCCACCCTTTCCCTTCAGCCCCTCCCGAGGAGCCCCAGATCACCTGCTTCCGGAAGAGCCCCCTCAGCAAGGTGGCCTGTGAGTGGGGTCCTCGGAGCCCCCCCTCCGGGACGACCAGGGCCACGCTTCTGGTGAGGAAGTTGTGAGTATCTGGGTCGGGGTGTGTGTCTGCATCCTCACTGCGCACCCCCCCCCCACCACAGCAGCCCCGCGGGGGGGCACTGGCGGCCAGCAGTTCCCAGACATCCTTGTCGTCAATGCAAAGTCATCCTTTGGGTGGGGAGGAGGGAGCGGGGAACTGGCCGGGGCGGGGCAGGGCTGCGCTTCCAGCCACGCCACCAGCGGGGGTCATTTTCCTTGTTTAGCAGATGGAGAAGCTGAGGTTGAGAGACTGATTAACTTGTTTGAGGCCATCTTGCTGGTAGTTGCTCTCCTAGGAATCACATCCCAGCCTGTCTGGTTTTATTCAAAATGCCAGATCTTGGGCGTTGCCCCCAGGGAGAGATGTCCCAATGCCGGGAGAGCGGCCAGCCGGCTCCTTATCGGCTCCTTATCGGCCTTGACTGGGAGCCTTTATCAGGCTCCTTCCACTAGAAAGGCCTGGAGAGGAGTAGGCTGGGGCCCGGGGTAGCGGGGCTGGGGCAGGAGGTGGAAGATGACCCTGTGGTTAGTCGCTCTCGGTCCCAGAGCCTCAGCCCTTGCTCCGGGCGTTTGCAAGGGAGTCTGAGCTGAGTTTTCAGAGCGTCAGGAAATCCAAGCAGTGACTGCACCGGGGGACTGGTCTCTGCCGGGTCTGTCGGCACAGTGTCGCGTGCTAATATTAATGCTTCGGGCTCCACGTAGAGCTGTGTAGACTGCCTGTCTGCAGAGGCACCGCGGCCCATAGGGAGAATCGGGACCATCTGGAACCTACAGCCGGGTCGTTCGGGTGACAGTGTGGGTCCTGGCAGGTGTTCGTGCGCAGCCTGCTCGGGGCAGAGGGCTGACCCAGGTGACGCTTGAGCTGGCGGACTTTGCGTGGGGGCTCATGCTTCCCTCCAGCAGCTGCTGGCACCTGGGCCCCCTCCTGAAGTGACCAAGGGGGAGGGGAGCCGCCACAGGGCCCTGCGCCTGGGGGGATCACACGGGCCCCTGGGAAGAGGCACGTGCACGTGGGGACACCCTCACCCCCTGTTCTGTCTCCCCGGTCCCCGGTCCTTCCCTCGAGTGCTGGGTGAGGTCAGCAAGAGCCTTGGGCTAGGCGCTTACTAGAGCCCCACCCCTCCACCCCCACCCCGGATGGAGGTAGGATGGTGTTGGAGGGAAAGAGGCGATGACTCCCACTGGGAACGCAGGAGCAGGTTTCCCAGAAGGAGAGAATTTGCCCTGGGCCGGGGGTCTAAACCTGAATCAGCAGTGATCTGTCCCCCTGAGGCAGGGCGAGTGGCTGCTGGGGCCTTGCATGCCCACACATGTCGTAAGTGGGGAAGTCTCAGGCCTCCGAGCCAGGTAGGCCCCGATCTGACTCACCTCGAATATGTGAGTATTTCGTCAGCCTGCCAGAAACTCTCTCCCTCCTCGTGATGGTCATAGTGATCGCGATCGGGCCTGGCCTTGATCCCCGCACTGACCGTGAAGGCTGTCCTGGTCCCCTGAGGGGAGGGGGAGGGGGGGAAGGGTCAAGAGCACTCGGCCTGCAGGAGGCGGTGTGCCCGGCTGCCCGCCCCGCTCCCGGAAGGGGCAGGGGCAGGAGCTGGTGGTGAGGCTGCGCGTCCTGTGTGCAGCGGGACCAGCCCCATGGGAGACTCGGAGGAGCCGTGCCAGTACTTTCCGGGGCCGCAGACCTTCTCCTGCCAGCTGGCAGTCCCTGAGGGGGACAACTCCTTGTATGTGGTGTCCCTGTGCGTCAGCAACGCTGCTGGGAGCAAGTCCAGCCGTCCCCAAACGTTTGAGGGCTACGGAATCTGTGAGTAGGCTCTTTGGGACCCCCGCCCTCAGCTGCCTCTGTCCCCTCTGACCGAGGGCCACTCGAGACTTCGTGGGGGGCAGGGAGGGGCTGGCTGTGGGGTCTGCTGAGCTGGTGCCTCTGGGCCCTTACTTGCCAGAGGGGAAGGGGGCTGGGGGGGGGGAGGGACAGGGGGCTGGGCTGGGCTGCTGCCTGCTCCCCGGCTCGGCTCGAGCGTGCCTGCTCTTTCCCCACAGTGCAGCCTGACCCACCTGTCAATGTCACCGTCACTGCTGTGCCCGGAAACCCCCGCTGGCTCAGGGTCACCTGGCGGGACCCCCCGTCCTGGAACTCCTACTTCTACAGGCTGCAGTTTGAGCTCCGATACCGGGCCGAGCGCTCGAAGACGTTCACAACGTGGATGGTAAGTTCTCCTTCGACTTCTGGACGGAGAAGGGCACTGGTTCCTCGGGGGCAGTGGGAAGGTGCTGGAAAGAACAACACGGCTCCGGGTCCTGCTTTGTGAGTTGCCGCCCGAGTGGCTGTGGGTGAGTCCCTGAACCGTTCTGAGCCTCCGTCGTCCCGTCTGTCAGGCAGGAATGATGGCATGGGGCCCTCCTCTTCGAGGCTCTGTGTGGGAGGATGAGTGTGACCCGGGGAGGCAGGTGTGCCGTGGGTATGACAGGAGGGCTTCTGTGGGCACGACATACAGCTTCTGCCTGCAGGGGCGGGGGGCCTGGCCCGCTCTGGGCCGCAGGGGTGACGGTGCGGCCAAGTCGCTCACGGGGCCTGAGCCGGTGCAGCCGGGGCGCGGGGCGCCGAGGGCACGCTGTCCCCGGGGAGCTGCCGACCCGAGCCCCCTCCCCCCCACCCCAGGTCAAGGAGCTCCAGCATCACTGCATCATCCACGACGCCTGGAGAGGCGCGAGGCACAGGGTGCAGGTCCGGGCCCGGGAGGAGTTTGGGCACGGCTCCTGGAGCGCGTGGAGCCCGGAGGCCGCGGGCGCCCCGTGGACAGGTACCGAGTGGGGTTTGGGCGGGTACCCCGGTCTTAGCAAAGTCAGCCCAAAACCAGTGCTGAAACAGCAGCCACTTTGGAGAGAGGCCAGCCTGGCCTCTCCTGTGCTGCCTGTGGGTCCCTGGCGACGCGTGCTGCTGTCCTGCGGCCACTGGGACGCAGGTGGTGGCGGTGGGCGGGGGGGGTATCGCTCCACAGCTGGGGCGCCTCAGAGAATCTGTAGCTGTATTTAGTGAACCACAGTTACTAATATTTCCTATTTTTAAAAAGATGTTAAAGGCAGGGGTGCCTGGGTGGCTCAGTCAGTTGAGCAACCAACTTCGGCTCAGGTCACGATCTCGCGGTCCGTGAGATCGAGCCCCGCGTCAGGCTCTGTGCTGACAGCTCAGAGCCTGGAGCCCATTTCAGATTCTGTGCCTCCCTCTCTCTCTGCCCCTCCCCAGCTCATGCTTTGTCTCTCTCCCTCCCTCTTAAAAATAAACAAACATCAGGGGGCACCTGGGTGGCTCAGTCAGTTAAGTGTCCCACTTCGGCTCAGGTCATGATCTCACAGTTTGTGGGTTTGAGCCCCACGTCAGGCTCTGTGCTGACAGCCCAGAGCCTGGAGCCTGTTTCAGATTCTATGCCTCCCTCTCTCGGACCCTCCCCGTTCATGCTCTGTCTCCCTCTCTCTCAAAAATAAATAAACGTTAAAAAAAAAATAAACATTAAAAAAAAGATGTTACAGGTAAAAATAATTGCCTTTGGGGAATGATTGACATTACTGTGGTTGTGATAGAACATGAAAAATTCTGCAAAAATATGAGAAAAATTATCATCAGTATTTTTGCCACCGAGAGAAAACCAGTGAGAGAGAACATTTTCATAGGTTTCTTTCCTTTCCTTAAATATGTGTGTGAGTGGGGGGAGGATACTGTGAGCATTCTCACATTAAATACTTTTGGAGACGTATTGTGTAGTAACTGCATGGTTAATGTTTTTTTAAGTGTTTATTTCTTTTGAGAGAGAGAGAGAGAGAGAGAGAGAGAGAGAGAGTGGGGGAGAAGCAGAGAGAGGGAGACACAGACTCGGAGCAGGCTCCGCACTATCAGTACAGAGCAGGACGTGGGGCTGGAACTCATGACACTGGGATCACGACCTGAGCCGACATCAAGAGTTGGACGCTCAACCACTGGGCCACCCAGGTGCCCCCAGTGTCTTGTCTTTACTTCCGAAATTTTCATCAAGTTAGTGCGCTCTCACGGCGAAGAAGCAAAGCAGGGCTTCTGGGAACAGTGGCCCTTGTCCCCCACTTGCCATCTCCAGTCCTGCTTTTGCAGAGGAAGCTGCTTGGCCTGATGCTCCTCGTTCTGCTGGTGCCTCCCGAACTCCGAGCAGCAGGCCAACACAGCTGCCTTGCCTTTTTCCCGAGGAAACGATTTGAGGTGTCTTGAGACATCTTGGTTCCTTGCTGTGAACGATTAGGATTCAGCAGACCCAGAGCCAGCGCAGGAACTTCTCAGATCGCAGTGCGTAGAGAGGCCGTCCAGCCTCTGGTTGAGTGCTTCCAGAGGTGGAGAGCTCACTACCCACTGCAGCAGCCCACTCCATTGTGCGCAGTGTTTCCATCATAGAACGGCTTCCACACGGGCTTCTGGCTGAAGCACAGAAGCACAATCGAAACAAATGAGTCGTTCTTAAATTCCAGGCAAGTAAAACAAAAACGGGAATACAGTACCCGTTTATTGAAGACATGTGGATAAAGAGGAAAAGGTAGAAATGAGGGGAAAAAGGCGATTGCCCAGGCCCACCTGGCTGGCACATCCTCGCACCGCAGCCCCGGGGGGAAGGCTCGCACACAGAGGTCGGTGTTCTTCCCCCGGAAGAGACGCGGCGTTCCCGCTTCCCCCCTGCTTTGCCACATGAGGCCCGTGCCTTTCGTGTCCCGGGGGAGCCGGACGAGTCGCCGTGGGCTGTTCCTAGTTGGATGCGCTTAACGTCCGGTGCAGGCTCAGATCTTCGCCGGCCCTTTTCCCATCACCCGTCCGTCGGGGGCAGCAGGCGGGTTTCTGCCGGACCCTCTTCCCAAAGCCTATTTCCCGCAAAGACTTGGGTGGGGAGGGAGGCCTGAGTCCTCTCTCTTACTTAGGGGGACCTTTTAAATCCATTGGGACATCCCTCAGGCTAGATTGTGGTGACCTGTCCACGGTTCGATTTGTACACACTTGGAGCCCAAACACGCTCATCTTCCGAGTGCTGAACCTGACCGGGGCCCCGGAGCCTTTGCGAGGGGAGAGAGCTGTGCACAGCCCCGTGTGCGGGAAATGCTTCGGACGCACACCTCTTCGCTCAACCACTGGATTCAGACCAAGAAATTGCTTTGTTGGAAAGTTCTTTCTCTTTAGAAATGTTTAATCGTGGTGCAATTTGTACACATAACTTAAAATTTACATGGTAACCGTTTGTAAGTGTATTAAAATTGGTACAAAGTACGTCCCCACGTCCACACCGCTGTGCGGCTGTCACACCGTCCATGTCCCAGAACTCTTCATCCTGTGAAACTGAAACTCTGTCCCCGTTAAACAGCGCCCCCGCCCCCGCCCCTGCTGTCGCCGTCGTCTCTATGCGTTTCGCTGCTGCCGGGCCTCGTATAAGTGGACACCCCGCATCTGTCCTCGTGACTGGCCTGTTTCCGTAGCGTCGAGTTCATCTGTGTAACACGTGTCAGAATCTCCTTCCTGTTTGAGGCTGAATAATAGTCCATCGTATGAAGACACCGTGTCTTGCGTAACTGCTCCTCTGTGGTCGGGCACTTGGGTTCTTTCCACCTTATCTCTGTTGTGAAAAATGCTGCTGTGAACACGATGTGTATGTATCTGTTTGGTCCCCTGCTTCCCGTTCTGTTGAGTACAGACCCAGAAGTGGAATTGCTGAATCATATAGTAGCTCTATTTTTAATTCTTTTGAGGAACTATCGGACTCTTTTCCACAGTGGCTGCACCATTTTACATTCTTCTCTCTTTTTTTTTTTAATTTTTTTTTTTAACGTTTATTTATTTTTGAGACAGAGAGAGACAGAGCATGAACAGGGGAGGGGCAGAGAGAGAGGGAAACACAGAATGTGAAACAGGCTCCAGGCTCTGAGCTGTCAGCACAGAGCCGGAAGCGGGGCTCGAACTCACGGACTTCGAGATCGTGACCTGAGCCGAAGTCGGACGCTTAACCGACCAAG